ACAGTAATGGTCATTCAACCTTCATTGACTGCCAAGTACTTATTTCTGAATTCTTGGAACATGAAGATCATTTTAGACCACTTAAAAATAGTTTTCAATCAGAAATTGCAACTAGTACAATGCAATGCTGTGAATGCACATGATCTTGTTCTGGGTTTTGTATTTCAGATTTAACATAGGGAATTGAAGGCATTGTAAAGAAAACGAAAATGGGTAAAAAAAAAACAGTAAAGGATAATTACCAATATTAAGCAAGTATGTAGAACAAACTGGCAGAATGTAGACTTATCAATGATGAAACCAGCAAAATGGCAGAAGCAAACGTCATTAACTGGGGACCGCTCAGTATGTAGAGCAACTATTAAGCAAACATGGCTGGAATTACAGCATCTGGTCATGTAAAATTCAAAATCTTTCATTTTTCAATCAAGCTCAAGTATCTTCTTGATAATTCCATAGACAAATCTTTTTCGGCTTTCTTCTCGAGATGCGTCCTAACTTTTTTGTATGCTGAAAAATTAGGTATAAGACCCTTGTCCATCATCTCAGAAAGAACCTTACTGGCAAGCAGAACATTCCCATTCTTCAAATGAAGGGTAGCTAGCAAGCTGTAGTTTGCATTGCTATAATAGCTAAGCTTATCGGCAGAACCAATCACATACACGTGTGCTTCCTCGTACTTTCCTGATTCAAAATAGGACTTTATTATCGCAGCATGAGTTAAAATACTTGGTTCAATACCCTTAAGAGTCATTTTATCAAGAAGCTTCATAACTAAATCAAACTGATGCCTCTTACAAAATGTGTTAATAAGAATACCAAAGCTATGCGCATTAGTTAAACCATAGTTTTTCTCCATATCTTCAAGCACTTGCCAAGCTTCATCAATTTTACCACTCTTGCATAGACAACTGAGTAGCAAATTATACGTACCTGCATTCATATCACAATCACTTCTCTCCATCTCCTTAACCAAATCTCCTACTCTTTTACAATCACCTCTCTTACACATTATCCTCATTAACACATGATAGTTTTTAATCTTTCTCCCCGCTGTTCTTATCACAAACTCAGCTGTCTCAAACGATCCTGAAAGACCAAACATTTCTATCAACAACTGAACTCCAAAACTTTGATAAACCCCGCCAACCTCATTGAACACGGTCATAATCTTTTTCACACATTTTATTCTAGAAGTCTTGTCCAAACCTAAATCCAGCAAAAACCCAAAAGCCTTTATTCCCAAAAACACCCTTTTAAGGCTAAATCCACGCAAAACAGGAACCATTGCCTCAAAATTCCACAACAACCCACAGTTAAGAACAAACAAGCTACCTATATCCGGATCACAACAAATATCAGGATCAGAAACTTTAAGCCAATCAAAGAACTGCAATGCTGACACTCTGTCACTGGCTAATATCTGAAAAATGTCAACAACTGACGTATGAGACAAAGACACGTTCATACTATTCAACTTGGCTACCAAATCATCCCCATCCTCACGAATCAGTGCAATGATTTGAGAAATCTGCTCTGAAGTAGCAAGAGGCCTACCCCAGTAAGGAGTACACGTACGAGTACAAAAAGTACAAAAATACACGCGAGTATGAAAGTGCAAATTGAGATTGAAGGGTGAGTGCCCATTATCAACATTAGAACAAGGAGTTGAAGAACCCGCAAAAGGGTGATTGGGGAAGGAAAGAGTTGAACACCCGAATGAGATGCGGGGAGGAGAAAGGAGAGTAGCTGAACTTGAAGTTGGGGTGTCAGAGAAGAACGAGATGTGAAAAGTAGAATTACAAGATTGATGAATTGAGACCAACCTGAGATTATTGCGGATGTTTCTAATTGCCATGATATTTTGTTGGTATTGGTATTGCTGGGCAATTGAATTCAAGACTTGTAGGTTTTGGTAAACCGCTGGGCAATTGGTGTGTGCTTACGTTCTTCGAAACGCGTACTTTGATGGGTACTTTGATGGGCTTGATGATTCCATAGGTGGTCATGTACGAGGATACCCAATCTCACGGAAGAAGTGTAAAGAATATTAAACTTTGCCAAATTCCACAATGAAAATTTGGAATAAACAGGAAGGTTTCTTGTATAGAATCCTTAGAGAAACACTCTCAATTTCAAAACGGAACTCCACATTTGCAAGAATACATCTTAATAAAGCAGACTAATTCATTCTTCCAAAAACAGGGGGCATGGGGCATATTTATAATAGGAGAGGCAGTCACGCATATAAAGATCCAGGAGGTGTGGGACTTGGGGCGGAAAACTCAACTGTTGCGTCAAGAAGTAGAAACAGCCCCCACGCATATAATGATACTAGGCTCGTTTAATTCCAAATCTGAAATGAAGCAAAAACAATGAATTGTCAGAAACTAAACTAGGGTTTTCTAGAAATCTGCGCTTGAGTATCCAAATGAGTAGCTCAAATTTTCAAAAACAAAATATGCAGATTATTACATGGAAATATATAACCTTAAAACTACTATTATCAATCTCTTACTGTGTGCGCGCATTTAAATAACTCAACGGATGTGCAATCTAATTCAAAACCTAACAAACACACGCAATCATATCATTACTGAAATAGCAACAGCCATAACCCAGTCTCATCACATATATATTTCACCAAGCCAATTACAGATTGCACAGCAAGGTTAATAACCCAGATAGGATTGTATCAAGATACGTATTCATTCTATCAATTTTGCATTATAGCACATAAGACAATAAACTGCAATACAATACCAACCCTTAATGTACTCTGCAGAGAATAATAATCCTACCAACCTTGGTAGTTTCACATAGCACCATCAATCATACATTCATTCAATTCATTTTATCCTATCCAATACAATAAAGTTTTAGTAATCAAATTTAAACAGCAGAAAACAGTACATAAAATAACAAAAAATAGTATAAAAATAGCATCTTTTTGATATATAAATTTCCTTCAAAACAGCCAGGTTTTGTGCAGAAATTTTAATACAAACAGCAAGTATTTTATATAGATTTTATAACAGCTAACAGCAAGCCTTTTTGAAAGCAAACAGCAAATGATTTAAGTGCAATAACAGCATCTAAAACAGCACCAAACAGCAAGGAATTAAGTGCAATAACAGCAAAGATTTTTCTCAAAACTCTGCACCTACGGCACTAAACAAAAACTGGACAGCAGAGAAAAAAAATAAAATGAAAAAAAAAATACAAGAACACTATAACATTAGTTTCCAGTTCACCTTTTATAACCACACTTCAATGTACACCCTATTTGGTTCCAATATAAAAAAAAAATAACATTAGTTAAGTTCGTATAAAAGAAACCAACGTTAGTTTTCTTTTTCAAAAAGTTTCTAGAATTAAAGTTTGGGCCAGCTGCACCGTAATGTCCATTAAGCACCACTTGTTTTATGCACCGCATAGAGAAAAGAACATAAAAATAATAGAACTAAATATTTGGACAGCAATAGAATTATTATCCAGCAAACCACTACCTAAAAAAAGTAATAAAATATGAATCAATAACAACACCCCCAAGAAATAATATAAATGCTCAAAGGCTGCACCAACCTACATCAAACGAAACTTCCCTGACTAACAAGCTTAAATTTTCTCCCAATTTTTTTTCGAAACCCATGTTGCATCAAAACTTATTTTTAGCGTCAGGTGTTTCTCTAAAAGAACCATGATTCAGCTTTAAAATAAATTGGCAGCACCATGGAACAATTATAAATCACTGTAATATATCATGTACCAGCCAGCGTGCAACTGTCAGCACTCATAACAAAGAAACCAAAACAATATCACAGAGCTTAGTCCCACCCAAAACAACTATCACCCAAACTCAATAACAGGATAGTTCATATGACGTCAATCTCTTCTTCAGAAACAGTCAACTACATTAATATGACAGCAACCCAAAACATAGCAACATCAAGGACCATATACAAAACAGAATCAATCAGTTCATCAATAAAATTTCAAGTCACCAAGCATTTTCAGATATCAAACAATAAACAATCAAGCACAGGATTAGCTCTCCATACCTTGGCCGATTCTTACTTTCTTACTTGATCTATCTTCCTAACGTTCTTCTCCTTTCCCGTCGCGTCTCGTGTTCTCCCTCAATCCTCACTCTGTTTTTCACTCAAGTAGGAATGTTGTGTGTGATTTCACTCCTCCTACCTCCCAATCCTTAAATACCCGCACTCCTCTTACCTCCTTCGCGTCCTCTAACGGCTATTTTCGCGCCTTAACTCCTCTTACCAATCTTTATTGCTCACGGGTTCTAGGGTTTTGTTCACTCTGATTAATTAAAATGCAAAAATAACTCACTTTTTATCATCAGGGTTCCAACGGGTCTCTTAAGCCACATAGTATCCAACAACAACTACACTTCTTTTAATTTGGACCTAGTAACAAGCCTTTTAATTTGGGCCTCGTAATAGTTCTTTTAATTTGGGCCTAGTAACAGGTATTTGGGTGTTGCTCCCTCCACCACCCTTTCTTCCTCCACCTCCCCAACTCTTTGCAAAAAAAATTTAATTACAAAAGTAATTTTTTTATTTTTAACTCTATTTATTTACTTTAAACTCAAACTCTACCCAATTTCACTTTTCACTCAACCCTACCTCCCAACTCTTCATTAAAATGGATTTTAATGGAGAATTTCAGTGATTGAAGGGAATTAATGGTACCTATTTATACACCTATAATCTAAGGGACAAGAATAACAACAAATAATAAGAGAAAAAGAAAGAAAGAAAGAATTAATAGGAACTAGAAAAGAATGGCTGGAAGTGGAGGAAGGAATTTAGACGAAACACCTACCTGGGCGGTGGCCACTATCTGCTTTGTTTTGCTCTCGGTATCTATCATCATCGAATACGTCTTCAATCTAATAGGAAAGGTATATATATATATATATATATATATATATATATATATATATATATATATATATATTCATATTATTGGTTGTATTTTATTTAATTATGAACCCTAATACATACTTTCACTGTGAGTTGAAAAGATCAAATCTGGTGGAGTTGGAGGGTGGAAATCTGAAAAGAGAGAAAGAGAGTTGGGAGGTGGAAGAGAGAAGGGGAGTTGGGAGGTGGGGTGAGTGAAAAGTGTAAAAAAGGTTATTTTTGTAATTAAAATTTTTTTGCAGAAAGTTAGGGAGGTGAAGGGAGAAGGGGTGGTGGTGGAGGGAGCAACACCTCATGTATTTTTGACATGGGCATTTTTATAATACGAGACCAAAATCTTATAATCATAACTTATTTTTTGAGAGTTGTTTTGCTCCCTCCATCACCCCAAGTGTTTCCTCACCTTCTCATTATTATTTTTATTTCAAGAATACCCTACACCTCCCCATTATATTTAACATAACTATCACTCAAAATTGAAATATGAACAAGGCCTTATGTGAAAGCACCAAAATCAACAAAGGCACCAAATGGCTGGACAAATTTTACTTTCCCAGTAAAACTTGCCCCAAGAACCAAATCTTCATTCTTTATCGAAGGCATCTCACTTTGATGTACTGACATTTTGGCCTTTGCAGCCCGAGACACTGCTTCCAAAGTTGGTGGCATAAACTATGATGTTCCATCAAGACGTAGAGATGGGCGTGTCTCTATTGGTGACGAAGTGCCACGAAATTTTTCTGGACCATGTTTCAGTGATGATCAACTCATCAATAACTTTGGACAAAAGGGTTTGTCTGTAGATAAAATGGTCACACTTTCAGGAGCACATTCAATCGGTGTGGCTAATTGTGGTGCCTTCTCGAATCGCTTATACACTTTCAGTGGCACAAAATCCCTCACTCGACCCTTTATATGCTGAAATGTTGAAAAACCAGTGTCGTCCACCACCCCACTTTGACAGGCACCACAGTTTCTCTGGAACCTTCCACTCTTATTCGTTTGGACAACAAATACTATGAGGGTTTGATCAACTACCGTGGCTTGTTGACATCTCATGATTCTTAAACGGATGTCAACGTCCGTGGACAATATCAACATCCATTTATTCTTTAACGGATGTCGATATTTGTTTAAGAATTTAAGGCATATTCACATCCGTTTAAATATTATTAAAGGGTAAAAACAGAATGTAAATGTGCAAGGAGCCGTGTGTGGTGGTGGAGGGAGTAACTCTCCTTCTTTTTCTATACTTAAAATTACTTTTGAGCATTTTCTTTATTCTTTTTATGTTTGTATGATCATCCCTTGATATCTCCATACAAATACGAATACTTGTAAGATCTTTCTAAATAATTCAAAAGATTTAAAAATATTTATCAAAAATCTAAGTTTTTTAAAACTTGAAAATATCAAGTAGTTGTTATCTTATTTAGATCTACCACTGCTTTTGCATTTTAAATAAAAATACAGAAAAACAAAATTAATATTTGTTGAGTCCAAAAATTATAAAAAAATTGTATAAATTTTTGATTTAAACATTAGTCATTAAACGGAACATCTGTTTTGAACATTCCTCGGACTGTTTTCTTCTACTATAACATAAAGATAGCATACACCCTTGCACCTACATGAACTATACGTTGGTTTAATATAAACTAATTAATAGAAATTTTAAAAAATTGATTAAAAAAAGTGAAAACTTTATTAAAATAAGCCCAACGTAAAGAAAAGCTTAGGCCCAATATTCTTTGGCCCAAAAGTGTGAAATATCACTTTCCCAGAAGCCTCTTCTGTCAGATGGTAGGTGAGTCTGAGAGTGAATGTACGCGAGAGAAAAAGGAAGGGCCAAAGCTCTCTAGGGTGACTCACGAGCGAAGATGGCAGCGGACCTCGTACCAATGATTGCCGGTCGGAGACCTAAGAGAAGATTAAAGAAGAAGAAAAGAAAGGTTTGCAATAGAGGTAAGTAAAAGAACGTTTCTTGTATTCTGTAATATATGAATCTATTGATGAATGAATGTTTTTCTCTTCATTACTCATTAATATGTTGGAATCCCTGTTTATATAGGGTTTCAATGAAACAGAAAAATGGGTTAGTTATAAACCCTAATAATCTCTAACAGAAACATAAATTCCTAAAACTAAAAACCCTAAAACATTAAATGTTACTCTTAGGAGCAATTACTACGAAACAGAAACATTAATAGCCTCCCTTCAAGCTGGATGATGAATATTCACTAATCCAAGCTTGGGGATGATAGATTTGAAACGAGTGCAGTGAGGAAACTTGGTGAAAACATCGGCAAGTTGTTCCTCCGATCGAATGGGGAGAAGTTGTAGAAATTTAGCTTGAATTTTCTCACGTACCACGTGACAATCCAACTCGATATGCTTAGTCTGCTCATGAAAGCTTTGATTGTGAGCAATGTACCTTGCAGAGTTGTTATCACAATAGAGAACGACAGTAGCAGTGGGTTGAATTTGGAGATCTTCAAGAAGATAGTGAAGCCATTACATTTCACAGACAGTGGCCGTTAGGGCACGATACTCTTCAGTAGAAGACTTTGAAACAGTGCTTTGTTTCTTTGACCTCCATGAAACAAGAGAGGTTCCTAGGAAAACACAATAACCCACCAGTAGTGGATCTCGTGTTAGGACAAGTAGCCCAATTCGAGTCAATGAACCCTTTGATCTGTATATCAGAATCAACAACAAAGAAGAGTCCTTCAGAAGGGTTGGACTTGACATATCTAAGGATATGTTGTAAGGCTTGATAATGATAATTAGTAGGTTCCTGTATAAATTGTCTTAAAAGATTAACAATGAAACATAAATCAGGTCTAGTATTAGTGAGATAGAAAAGCCTTCCTATTAGTCTGCGATAAACACTGAGGTCATCCATATAGTTCTCTGTTTTGTATAAGGAATTGGTTCTACTAAGAAAAGGTGTAGCACATGGTTTGCTCCCAAGCATTCCTGTTTCTTTAAGGATATCAAGGGCATACTTTCTTTGACAAAGATGTATCCCTTTCTTAGATCTAGCAACCTCAAAACCTAGAAAATATTTGACTTCCCTAAGGTCTTTTATCTGAAATTGGTGATGTAAGAGAGCCTTTATGTTAGTGATTTCATTCATGGAATTTCCTATCAAAATAATATCACCAACATACACAAGTAAAGCTGTGAAATCAGGGGGTTTTCTTTATAAACAGGGAGTGATAAGATTTGGATTGAATATAATTTGCAGAAAGGAGAAAAGTGGAGAGTTTGTCAAACCATTGTCTGCTGGCCTGTTTCAATCCATATAAAGATTTAGTGAGCTTACAGACTTGTCCCTGTGTGCTAGTATTTAAACCGGGGGAAGGATCCATGTAGACATCTTCATTTAGGTCTCCATGTAAGAAAGCAGTATCTACATCAAGTTGATGTAGAAACCAGTTCTTTGAGGCAGCAAGAGCAAGTAATAGTCTAACCGAAGTGAGTTTAGCAACCAGAGAGAAAGTATCCAAAAAGTTTATCCCCTCCTGTTGGGTATAGCCCTTGGCAACAAGACAAGCTTCATACCTTTCTACACTGCCATCAACTTTGTGTTTTATTTTGTAGACCCACCTACATCCAATGGATTTCTTTCCAAGAGGAAGTTGAGTCAAAAACCAAGTACCACTGTCTTGTAACGCCTTAATTTCTTTTTGCATAGCATCAACCCATATCTATTAAGTTGCCTAATAACTCCACTATTACAACCCACTATGCAGGAACTATACAATTTTCAAAGGATTTCACAATTTCCAATGTTTTATACATACCTGAATTTAGTTTCAACCTTATATCTATTCAAAGTTTAACTAGAGATATAGACTGCACACTAACTTTTTCCTCTAAGATGTGTCAGATCCAGGACAACTCTACATTGAAGATAATTGGATGTGTTAAGGTGTATAAAGGGCTTTACTACCTACACGCTGTTGGAAGAGATGTGGCACCTAATTTTATTTTCTCTTATGAGCATGTAAATATAAATCTATGGCACTTTTTCTTTGACCTCCTTGAAACAGTGCTCTGATACCATATTAAAATAAGCCCAACGTAAAGAAAAGTTGAGGCCCAATATTCTCTGGCCCAAAAGTGTGAAATATCACTTTCTCATAAGCCTTTTCTGTCAGATGGTAGGTGAGTCCGAGAGTGAATGTACGCGAGAGAAAAAGGAAGGGTGAAAGCTCTCCAGGGTGACTCACGAGCGGAGATGGCAGCGGAGCTCGTACCAATGATTGTCGGTCGGAGACGTAAGAGAAGATTAAAGAAAAAGAAAAAAAAGGCTTGTAACAAAGGTAAGTAAAAGAACGTTTCTTGTATTCTATA